TCCAAGCCCTGAACTGAATCCAAGCCCTGCTCCAAAACCAACCCCAATACCCAATGCTGACAGCAAAACATTCTTGTGCTCCATATCTTTCCTGCTTCTTTTCATACTTTTTTTCTGATATTGTGATAGAAGAAGATGCATACGTGGTCTAAAGGCTGACACTATTGGGTCAGATTTAAGTATTGTTTGGTATACACTAGGCAGCTCTACTAAAGATGTCTTTTATGTTCATACGGACTCGAACCGGAGGCCAATTTGGTAGAATAAGCCCAGGTGACTACTAAGGCAGATGCCTATTATTTGGAGATGGGGATTAGAGGAACAAAGAATTGGTGGCTGCTGCTGTGGCCTATATGTGACCCTTTTCACCTCTCGCCTCCATATATACACGCGTGTGTGTAGAGAGAGAGACACACACACACACAAAAACATAGACACGCGCGTGCCTTTTGTAATATCCTAAAAAAAATTAATTGAAAAGTAATATAATATAATAATATTTTATTATAATATTTAAAAAAAAAAAGGTCCAACTTTTCACCGATATTTTGGTGGAAAGTTGGAGGGGGTGGAAAGTTGGGGAGGAGCGGTGGAAAATTGGGGGTTGGGTTTCAAATTCCCTCCCCCGATAAATGTGTGGGGGTGTTAAATACCCCCCACAGTTCATTTCCACCCCGCAGCAGTGCCCAAGAAGGAGGGAGAGAGAGAGAGGCCGAAGTGTGTGAGAGAGAGGAGCATGCCGGTAAAAGAGAGGACAAGCTTTGAAGATATTTTAGGTACATAAAATTACTTCTTTTTATCAAACTTTTTTATAAATATTTCCTGTATATTTTAAGCTTCTTATTTACATTATTACTATAGTGATTGGAGAAAATTTTGAGACTTATATATGATCTAAGTATTGAGTTTTTACAAAAGATGACTATCGAAATTTAGAAGTTAATGAGTTGTTAATTTTAATCAGTTTAGATTTGTCTATTTGTTAGTTTTAGTATTTAAATTAATTTATTTAGTTGAAAATCTGTCATTTATGGGATATACCATATTTTTACCGATTAAATTTAAGTTAAATAATTTATTTGGATTGTTTGATATATTATTGAGATTTTAATCGGTTTACTTTTATTTATTGGGTGACTGGAGGTTTTAAAATAATTATTGTAGCTAAAAAGTTTATTATTTATGGAAATATATATATATATGGTAGTTATACCATTAAAGTTTTGATTATATTATTTAGTTATAAATATTTAAAGTATTACTAAATTTTTAAGAGTTTGATTTTGAGGTTTAAACTGAAAATGAGAGTTTTTAGAATTTAGAATATAGTAATTTTATATTTGGAAATTGTGGAAAATCTTTTTATTAAGGTAAATAATTTGGAGGTGTAAATAAATAATTTGGGGTTGTTAGAAATTTTAAGTTGTTTTTAAAATAATTAATAATTTTTGGGTTACGAGAATTGCGGGAGTTTAGAATAAAAATTTAATTAAAGTATAAATTTAACTAATATAGAGAAGTTTAATTAATTAATTAATTAGTTTATATTAATATGTGATTATATTAATTGTGTAGATTAATTATTGGTTAAGCAAAGAATTGACCTTGTGGTAATCCTTAGTATTGCTTTGGAGAGAGGTAACCACTTTCCACTTGTTATATGTGCTAATATGTTGTTTGTGAGTATTTTGCTGTTTTTAAAATAATATTTGATATTTGGAACTTGAGTAGATATGTTATATCTTTTGAGCTATGAAAATTGTCTCGTGGGATTTTTGGAATTGTAATTGAGAAGTTTGGAAAAGATATATGATTTATATCTTATGGATTATACTGAGAAAAGACTGAGACATCTTAGACTCTGCATGTAACGCTCCTTCGAAAGTGTTGACTTTTGACTAATGAGCTTTATAGTTTATATTAAACTGATTTATTAGTTCGTATGTTTGAAAATATAAGTTTGGTTTGGGCTAATGGTTGAATGATATTTCTGAACTTTGAAAGTCCAACGCCCAAGGTAATGATCGATGTTACTCTTATTATAAGTGTATTTTTTTTAACCATGATAGCGATTTTAAAATTTTAAGGTTTCTTCTTTTCTATTATAGTTAATCATTTAAATAAATTGTTGGATTTAATCTAAAATGGTTTTGAAAGAACGGTTGTCACACTTTTGAGTTGGTGGCGTTAAATGAATTCCAAGAAGACAAAGAAGCTTTCTTTATTTTGTTTTCTTAGTGTCCAAGTCTCACGCTAATTCCTTAAAGCGTAGGAGAAAATGGAGAATTATTCCGTCTTTACCATGTGATACTCAAATATGACCGCTGCTTTGTTTGGGGTTTAACTGAACGGTGCCTTAAACAGAAAAGAGGGGGGGGGGGGGGGAGTTCTTGTCCAAAAAAAGTTCTTGTCCACATACAGTGAAACTAATAAAGCTGGAGTTTCTAGTGCTAGACAATAATCTTTATATATATATATAAATATATATATTTGACAAGAAATCCTTTAAAATTCAGTAATACCTTAGTATTTATAAGTAGGCATGATTTTTTTTATAATTATTTGAACCATAATTTTTTGAGGTCTGGGTCTTTTTTAATAATAGTAAAATAGCAAAAAAAAAAACTTTATAGCAGATTTTAATAATAGTAAATTGGTCACATTTATTTATATATTATTTGTGTAAAAGTATAATAATAATTTATAAAATATTAAATTTGGATTATTAAAATATTGATCAAGGGAGGGAAAGGAAAAAGGAGTCCATCCCATTTCCACAATTTTATATAAAGCGACAGAGACAACCCATAATGTTTTTGGTCAAGGAAAAACCATCGTTGACTCTATGCCAACGTCACCAACCAGACCTTACTCTTTTAATTTTTTTTAAAATTAAATATTTAATCCTAATATAGCGTCAAAATACGTTATCTTATTACTTTTGTCAGTAATGTTCATTTAATTATTTAACTTCCTATATTTATACTGAAATTATGATATCCCTTATAATTGTTTTGTTTGTATTTATATATCAAAACCATTAATTTCTTATAATTATAAAAATTTAACTTGATTTTTAGTATTATAAAGATAATTTTTTTAAAAATAGTACCAAGTCTTAACTTGGAAGCAGGCATCATGTCTTTTTGATAAAACAATACAGAAGGATATCAGGACAAAACCATTTGTAATTGTCAATGAGCACACAAAATTACCGCTAGAACAAGAAGAATATGTATTTTTTTTTTTTAATTTTTCAAACATAGAGGAAAGAATATGATTTAAGGAACCAAAATAAATGTGAATGAAGCCAGTTAGGCGCACTGTATCAAAGCTACAAGTTAAAGATGAGGTGATTAGGTATCCAATACTCATAGCTCCTTTTCTTATTCCCCTCTGATTTAAAAAATAAAAATAAAAAGTTCCCACCTTTTATCACTTGAAATTTGACTCAGTGGGGTGGCATGCGGTGGAGAATAACCATATGTATAGACTTATTGCCCTTAATTTTTTTTTAAAGAATGACGTCATTATCAATTTTCATGAGTAATAAGCATTAGATTCAGACACGTGTCCTAAAACATACGCCTTTAAAGAAGAGTATATGGTTTTTTTTTTTGACACTGTTATATCTTTTAGATGTTTTGTTTAGTCCGTCCTATAAAAATACACTGTTTGGGTGCTCTAAAACCGTGGTTTCAGAAGTACTTTTCCACAAAACGAGATAACCTCCTCCACATATTTACTTCGTAATCCGTAAAAGCACTTCTGAAACCATGGTTTGGTTTTTATCCAAACACTCCCAAAGTCAATGATAAGTTGTCTCAACGGCAACACTATCCGTCAGGCTTGAAATAAGTTTTAGGCTCAAGTCTAATGGTGACATATTTATATACGTGTATGTCTAATTGTATAAAAAAAAAATATTTCCCATAAAAGACTATAAAATTTAGTAATGCGCCTAGGAATTTTTTCCAAGAATACTCAAATATCATAGTACCTCCTATCTTAATCTAGTTTGATTTGTAGTGCAGTTAGTGAAGATTTGGAATGAAATGTAATGGGACGTTTTGTCCCTATGTTTAGTTTTATCTTCTCCTATTGTTATTCTTCAGATTAAAAATATCAACTCTTATTTTATGTGAGACGAAAATGGATATTGCCAAGTAGAAGGCTAGGGACCTAGATTCATAATTTCTTAGCCATCATATTTGTCATTAGAGAGAGGATTCCAAAAGAGAGAAAAGAACATTAACCAAACAAACTTAGCAGACCCTTGCCCCAAAAAACAAAAAAAGTCTTAGCAGATTTGCGGTTGCGTGGTTGGCACAAAATCGGAAGTAACACAATTATAATTAAAATGATATAATTTAATTAAAATATATAAAATAATCATATATAACCTTGAAATGAGTAGTATTTAAATGAAGAGATATTAATCTACAAGTAAATGGAACATTCATGTATGAATTGAAGGAAGCAACCCAATAGGACGGGTGAATACAAGTTTCTCAGGTTTTTATACATCCTCTCTCACTTATATATTGTGTGCAAATATACCGCAGAGGCCATGATATTCTTTTCCCAAGTGATTCAGCAATCAATCATGTCTCCATTCAAAAGAAGAATAATCTCTTTCCCCTTTTCTAATGCAGAGATTTCCCAAAAGGATTTGGCATCACAACAAAGATTTTAATTTCATTTGGGGTAATGATTTCTACTTTGAAGCCTAACAAGATCAAACTATTAAATGCGTTTAAATGCTCACATGCACAAACAACCAGAAGATATATCTCAAGCTTACTTTTCATTTCTCATCATGAGTCTTGAGCAGTGATAGTGTCTTGGAACTGCCCTCCAAGCATAGGCCTCAAAATGACAATGTCTTGCTTTAATAAAAGTTAATCCGATGATATCATAGAAGGATATCAACTGAAAGACATATAACTAGGTTTCATTTTTACGGTAAACCATTCTCCTACTAAAAGTTGCTCCAACTGAAATTCATTTAAGTGATATTTCTACCGCGAACCTCGTTCTCCATACAGCTCATTCCACTGCTTCAACTGATGCATAATTAATCCGCAAGCATCAAAACTCGCAGGAACCTGTGGGAAAATTTAAGATTTAGATTCCTCTACATGCGTCATTGATAAATGAGTAGGCTTTTTCAAGGGCAATGAAGAAAGGACATTCAACAAATATATGATCTCTTGTAGCAATCTCAGATTTACCTAATAATTTAGGTAGGTTTGGCTATGGGCTGAAATCTTAACCTGTTATATGTATTTTCTCACAACAGTGCAAGAGAAAGAAAACTAAAAAGTTTCCAAAATCAATGGACTAAGGACATTTGTTAGTTGAATATTCAATCGAGATCAAATGGTATTATCAATGAACACTAAAAGCATAACCAGCCCCATATTATTTACACAAACATCCATTTATAGCAAGTATTTTCCCATAATGGTTGAAGGGAAAGAAAAGAAAAAGTATAGGCCTAAATCAAGCAAAGATCATAGTCATCCATATAAATTGCGGGGGTTTTTTAGGTTAACCTTACCTGATTCTTAGCCTGAATCATGTCTTCCATATTTATAGGCCTCAAGGTAATCACGGGCTCTTCTTTGTCCTCCTTAGCACTAGAAGCAGCTTCTGAGCTTTGACCTTCAGCATCTTTCTCACTCTTGTCCTAAATTAACAAAAAATTTTACGTTCGCTTAGTCAGCTAAGAGATAATGATTAAGTTGAGAAGGCATGGGGAGATGATGTTTTTAGTCAAGGAAATTGCCTTCTCTTTTGTATCCTCTTTGGCACTTGAAGCAGCTTTTGAGTTTTGGCCTTCAGCCTCTTCTTTATTCTTCTCCTTAAATGAGAGAAATTTTATGCTAGTCAGCTAAAACATGATAATTAGAATGAGAGGGCACATTGACATGATGTAACAAGCCAACATTGTCAAGTTTGGTTAGTAACATTACCAAAGCCTCCAACTTCTCCTGTTTTATTAGCTCCCTAACAGGTCGATAAGCAGCAGCAGTGCACAAATTCTATTTAAAAGAAATTAAGTGTCACGAGATGGCGGCCAAATGTTATAAGTAGTAAAGTAGAATCACAATATGAAAAGGAAAGACAAAACTAAGAAACCTTGAGGTCGCTTCCAGTATACCCCTCTGTCATGACTGCAATCTCCTTCAAGTCTAAATTTTCAGTATTTTCCTTACTTAGAAGGGTTTTCAAGATAATCTCCCTAGCCTCCACTGATGGAAGACCAACCATGATTCTGCTCAACATTGAAAGTTATGAAGATATCAATCCTAAAATCATAACAATGTGGATTTAAAAATTGAATTATTCAATAATGTTACTAAGAGATCAAGCCAGAATAAATTTTCCAAGAGATGCTTTATAGAGTTTCTGAATGGTTATAGCTTGCTTATGCAAAATTGAGACTGAGACTTAATTATCCATGCAAGAAACATATTGGACAAGCACAAAGCAAGGACTCATAAAGATAAGAATGGTTAGAGATTAGAAGTTTTACCTGAAGAGTTGGGAAAATATAGAAAGTAACAAAAGTGTTTGTCCTCAAAGGGTGTCACTGGTATGTTATGCGTAACATCTTGATCATTTGAAGGCTAAAATTTCACTTATTGAAAACTAATCTTTCTGTTTCTTATGAATACGTAGCTACTAATAAAGGTCATGTATGCATTTGTTCTCAAGCCAAAAGTAATAAAAGAATCAGAAGTGAATGAAGAAGACTACCATGAAGACACATATACCTTCGCTCAAATCGCCTTATGATTGCATCATCAAGGTCGAATGGCCTATTGGTTGCAGCAAGAACCAGAATTCTCTCATCTTGTTTTGTCAATAGACCATCCCAATGGGTCATGAATTCATTCTTAATCCTCCTCGTAACCTCATGCTCTCCACGTCTTGCTCGACTCCCGAGCAAGCTATCAACCTCATCAATGAAAATGATAGTTGGAGAAACCTTTGCAGCGAGAGAGAACAGAGCACGGACATGCTTCTCAGATTCTCCAAAGCACTTTGATGTGATGGTAGACATGGAGACATTGATGAAACTAGCTCCTGCTTCATTGGCAATTGCCTTTGCAAGCATTGTTTTTCCAGTACCTGGAGGTCCAAAGAGCAATATGCCTCGACAAGGCTTAAGAAGCCCACTTTTGAAGAGCTCTGGTCTTCGAAGTGGAAGCATGACTAGCTCTTGTAGTGATTCCTTAATTTCCTCTAAAGCACCAATATCTGAGAATGTAACTCCTATCTCATTCGCAGGGATAAGTTCTTCTCTTATATGCCCCTCATGCTGATTGTCTGGACGAACTTCCTGCCAGCACAAAATTAAACCAAAACTGAAATACCGGAATGAAGTAGCCACATAAAACATTGGTTAAACGCTCCCTTTATGCATAATTGCACTCTCAACCAGCTGAGTTCTATTGCATAAATCTAGAATATTAGTCTTTCACCATCCATGTAATCTCTTTTTTTCTTTTTATTCTTTGGAATGCCTTGTCCTGGTCCATTTTGCTCTTACTCATGAGTTTGAATGTAAACGTACCTTTTTTCCCCTAGTTTGTTGCTTCTTTCCCTCGTCCCTGCTTTCCTTTTTGCGAAATAGATCCAAACCATGGCACAAGCTGTGAATTCCCAAGATCAGTCACTAGAACATGTTTTCCTTAAACAAATAAACAACTGGTCCAAACTCTTACCTTTCAGATGATATTACAAGCTTTTGATTCCGATATTCTGGATCCTTGATATTCATCAAGTAGTAAGATATTGCGGATAACACAATTTCTTCGATATGTTTACTTAGTATCTTTGTGTCCTCATGGCTAATTGAATTCAAGTCTCTACATTCAACATCATTTTCTGCCAGTACATCAGCAATGTGGTTTCTGTTATCTTGAGACTCAATTGTTTTCTTGTTCTCTTCCAGCTGGGCTTTCCATTCCTTAAGATCATTTTCATCTTCTGGTGGCTTGATCTTAATGATGTAAGGGAACAATGCTACGAGCCTTTCATCAACTTTTGAACATTTATTCTCTTTGCGAGACAACACTATGTATGGTGGGAGATTTCCTATAATCACAGGCAACACAACCTTTGTATTAACAAATAATATTATCACTTTAGAGAACACAGACTAATATATATTATGTCCCACTTGGCCATAATTCGTTTTAAATTTCAGAACACAATTTCAAAACAAATGCATTTGGCTCCTACATTGATCATTTAATGAATAAAAAGATCATAAACAAATGTTTCGGGTTCTCAAATAAAAAATTGGCCTTTATTTTTCTGCTTTTCCAAACAACTGTATACTCTTTCACCAACTAACTTTGCTTTTTTAGTTCTTTACTCATATTCTCAATTCATTACAAAATGAAGCTTTATGATGAACTAGAACACAAACACACACACATCACTTTTTCAGCAAATAATTTTTGTAATAGTTCCATTTTCCTTATGTATCCGGTCTTGAAATAATATTCGGATAAAAATTTTGCTAGCCTTACCAGGTTTTTTGGTTTGGACAGCGATCTTGGAACCGAGTATCAGCACTGGCCCTCGAATTTCCCCCAGCATATCATTAAACAACTTATACAGTTGCTCTGATTGGAGGAAAATCTTGTCAACATCCCTAATGTACAAGATGATGGAACTCTTTTCTGACACAGAAACCAATACCTGGAAGAATCATATTCATCCTACCAGTTAGCTAGAACCAATTACTGAGAAATTCCCATTTCTTCTTGAAGCCATGATGATGACAGTACCTTGTAAAGCAACCGCATAAAGAGTTTTTCATTGATACACAAGCTACTTTTCTGCTTAGCTGTGGTTGAAGATTCAGAGCAATAAGCAAGAAAACATTTAGTTTTATGTACAATCAATCATAAAATAGGCCATTAACTATTTTTGGTGGATTAAGAATGGCAAAAATGTGATAATTTAAACAATAGATGGATTTGCTAATTAAAGCAATTAGCAGGAAAGAGGTAAGTAGTGCCAGTGTGTGCATCTGAATTAAAATACAGGGTTATTGAAATTAAACTGGCGAAGGATGAGTAAGCCCAGAACTTGCAGACCATGGCAACCTATAGTTTTGCATACTAGTCTAATTTTAATATGGTTATCTTACGATGGAGAGAAATCTATCAAGAATATGAATAATATGCACATGAACTAAAACAGTAGAACAGATAGAAATGAAAATGCGTTCAAGTATAACCAGAATTTGCCGGAGCAGATTGGGAAGCAGTAGTCGCACGAATATTTGAAGTGATATTGGGACTTCCAGTAGCATTACTGTGTTTCTGAAAAGTGCCTGCATAAAAGTAGTCAATCAATATACACTAATGTGGTATCATACAAGTTATAGAAAGAGGCCAAGAACTGTGAATATTACCATAATCTTTTCCAGGATCATGAGTTCATGATTATGATTACGGTAAGAGATATTTAACATTGAACAAGAATACAATACTGCTAATTGCTGAATCAAGCATGGTTAAATCAGTCTTAAGCTCCCCATGAAATGTAATTTAAGGCTAAGAAATATGGGGCAAAGGCCTGTTTCTTCCCTCCCTACCTTTAGTTTTGCCATTTGAAGAGAGGACAGAACCAAGCAAATCCGACACTCCCTGGGAAGCCACCTCAGATAAGGAAATTTTAGAAGACCACAAACAAAGCAAATGAGTTAGGTAAATCACCAGATAAACCAACTCAAATGTTTCTGACTTTGTGATTCATTGTTAAAATATGACCAAAAAGAGAAAATGGAGAAAAAGCATATTTTTATGGAAAAAGGGAAGTATCTTCAGTCTTTAGTGCACACCATGACAAAGAGGGGGGGGAAGAAACAAGCAAATGCAGAGCAGGAAGACTTACTGATTCTTTTCTTACACATCCATATTTGCTTTGTATCTGCAAAAGGGAAATAGGCCAAATATGAATGTTAGCTTACTCAACAAACAAAAGAAATTGCAAAATGAAAACATTCACCTTGGAAGAGAAATCAGCTACATCTAGGAGCAGCAACTTTGATTCAAAATGATGTGCTAAAGCCCTGGCAAGCGTTTGTACGTAAAATTCTGCCCAAAAAATTTGAAAAATGAAAATGAAGCAAGTATGAGAGTCAAACCGACATGACATGAGACATCTTCATAACATACCCGCGGGTCCAGAAAGCAGAATTGCCCTGCTTGCTGGTGAAAGGTTCCAAGTGTGCTTGGAAAAGAAAAGTTGCCTTAAATGAACAGATGCAGCACTTTTCAATAACTCTCGAGTTCTTTCACTGTCAATGCGGCGGAATAAGACTTGTGTTATATACAATGGTAATAATAACTCAGACTTATATATGATTTGAAACCTGAACCAGAAGGAACATGTTGTTTACAAAGTCCCACTCCAATTAAGAATAAATGTCTCAAGTCAAGCACATCAAATTCCTCCAAAGTAGAACAGATCACTATGTTTACCAGTATATTATTACATAAGGAATAACTTCGAACCGTAAAAGTAAAATTAAAAAACTAAAAGAGTGCAGCTGAGCAGAATATTCCTGGATGAGGAAGACCATATATATTCGGAAAAAGTAAATGCTCCAGATTGCAAGAAATGTTCAAAACTTTAGATCACCTTAAGTAATACGGAAACTCTTGAAAAGTTTCTTTGCATTCCTTTCCATCGATCACCTGCCTCAAAAGCTCCTGCTCAATCTGTTCACCATAAAGCTCATCACCAGACTCGTGATTCCCTCCAAGCCCTGAGCTCAACCCAAGGCTTGCTCCGAGACCAACCCCAACACCCAATGCTGACAGCAAAACGTGCTTGTGCTCCATCTCTTTGAAACAATTTGCTCCTAACCTCTTCTGAGCAAGCAAAACTCCACTCCTTTTAGCTCTGGTTTTGGAAAAATACGCCGAAGGCTATTTGGCAGTTCAAGTGCCCACCATATGTGTGACCCTCTTCACCCCTCCCCCCATATAATCGAAGTATGACTTGACGTGAGTGCGTGAATTCCTAAAAGGGAGAAACTTAGCTCACAAGTTGTTTAGAAAGAGAGACGTGTGGTAAGATGACAAAATTAATCCCTTAGTCCCAGCATTTTAAATTCATTTTCAAGAATATATTTGCTCATTTAAAATCAGTCCCCACTGTTAGCTACAGTTTAAAAGTTAGTCCTTATGCTTCATCGTATCTAGACAACAATTCCACCAATGCATACCTCGCATTAACACTATTAAGGGAGTGTTTGGATAAAAACAAAACCATGGTTTCAGAAGTACTTTTACGGATTACGAAGTAAATATGTGGAGGAGGTTATCTCGTTTTGCGGAAAAGTGCTTTTGAAACCACGGTTTCAGAGCATCCAAACAGGCCCTAAGTAACTGCTGAGGTGGCGCGAAACTAAAATTGAACAATGATGTGGCACATATGTTGCATTAAAAATGTAATGACGATTTTGATAATTAAAATGCACACTTGACCTCTGCTTTGTATCAGAATAAATTACTGTTAAATGCAAGAATAATTCAGTCTCCAGGGCAAGTGGGATGAGGCAATAATGTGGGAAATATAGTTCATTATTTAATTTAGCTTTACGAAACATGCTAAAAGCCCGGAATTATATTCCATTTCCATTTCCAAGGGAGCAATTCCATCGTACCAAACGTGAGCAACCCAAAGATTTCATTTCCATCTCCTTAGTTCTCATTTTTAACCTTTACTCGCCACCACCCACCTTCGTAGCCTTACTCATCGGTGATGTCCACCCACCCCCCCAAATCAACTGCTCACTCACCGGAGACCACAGCGATAACGGCGAGGACGATGCGGCGGCGATGACGACGGGGGCGATGCTGTGGCGAGGACGATATGGCAGCGATGACGGTGATGCTTTTTCGTCGACGAGTCAAAATGAGGAATCATCATCAACGATGCTCACTCTCTTGCTTGAATGCTCTCGAATCCGGCCTCCCACCCTCATTTACGATTTTGCTAGATCTAGTTCTTGATCTTAGGCGTCTGGGTTTGCTGACTGGTGGGACGGAGTGAACATTCACTGGATACTAACCCCATTTTCATGTTTATTTCTACTTCTATGTTCATGTCCATTTTCATTTTTCATTTTTAATTCCATCAAAATCAATTCCAGTGTATCAAACGGGCAGCCTGTTGAACAGATTCAACAATCCCTATATGTAAAGGTCTCCTATCCCAATCAGCATTGTCAGAGGGAAGCGAACAATTTTCCCTGTGGAAATAGCGCCCTGTACCCCTCTCTTTCTATTTCAATGTATCTGATTTGCCTGACAAATATGATAGAAAAAGGACAAAAAATAGTGATAGATTGATACCTTTTTTTTTTTTTTGCTAGTTGCCGACTATATCTCCACTCCTAGTTTACAAGCTTTGACCATGAAATAGTTTGTAAGCTTTGACCATGAAATACTCAACACGGCTGGAAGTTTCATTTTGGCGGCGTGAGGGTTTCATAAGAATTGAAAAGCAAAAGCTGCGTTTCATCACAGAGATTTAATGAGTAAGAGGGTTTTTTTTAAATATAAAATGACATTTTAATCATTATATAAAAGAAATATAATTATTATAAAATGATTATATCATATAGGATGCCATATAAGATGCTATATAGAATGCAAGGTGTCTTGTGTTGATCTGACATGCCAAATTCTATTAAAAAGATAACAGTGAGTTAATGACAAGGCCTACATAATAAAAAAATAAAAAATAAAAAATAAAAGGGGTTGAATTTAAACTTTTAAAAGTCAGGGAGGTTATCTTGAACTGGCCCATAGTTTAGTGGGTTTTGTATAATTTAGCCTTTAAATAAATAGTTATTTTTTCTTATAAAGAAAACTATGAAAATTGTTCCACAGGAGGAGACCATACAGAATGATATGAAGTACGAGCATTATTTATAAGCCTGTGGAGGTGATTTTCCTTTTTTTTTTTTAATTTTACACTGCAAAATAATTTAATATACTGGATTCACGTGAAAAAAAATAGTACAAAGTACTTGATGCAATTTGACGGTTTGTAATCTTCAAATTGTATCTTCTCTCTCTTCAAAATCAAAAGGAGATAGATAGATAGATAAATAAATAAATAAATGGTAAAGGCTCATCAAATGTTTTGATCTTATTTTTCAAGCATAAATCTAGTGCTTTCATCTCTTTCATGATGCATCTATTACCATTATCTTATTTTTAATATATCCACTACCTTAATTTTATTTCTGATGTATTTAACATCCCAAAAATTAAGGTATTAGATGTAACTAAAAAAAATAATATTGGAATGCTAAATGCAACTGCTGGAGGTGCTATAAAAAAAGATTAAATTATCACATGCCACCTGAAAAGTATATATAAGGCGTTGGATGTATCATTAGCTATAAATAAAAAGATAAATAAAAACATGATTGGAATAGTTTATAAATAACTTTTAATAATGATTATATAGAAAAGTTTTATCTTAATTTACTCCTCCGATCCTTAATATAAGATCCATTTAACTAATTTGATTAGATTAAGAAAGTTAGATAAGTTAGTTAATTATAAGAAATGTGACACGTTTTTCCTAAAATACCATAATCATCTTTCTCAATATTTCCTCTCCCTCTTGTACTTGATTATGGTTGAGGAAGTATTTATAGGAATAATTTAAAGAAAATTGATAAATATGAGAAATGGGTCTTATATTTAGGATTAAAACTAACTCAACAATTGAGTCATATATTAAGGACTGGAGGAATATATAAAGTATATTTATAAATCATTTTAAACATGATCAGTGAGCCAAAATGAACGAGGCTCATTGAAGTTTTTATTGATAGAAAGAGATAAATCGTTAAACGATGATCATTCGTGGAATCTGGACCAATTGGTTGCTTAGATATAAAACGACCAAAGGTCTCAGTAGGGATATAACCTGCCTACTTGCCAGCACACTGGAAAAGTCATTACTTATAAAGATAAGATCTTGTTTATTAGTATAAGATCTTGTTTCAACATACTCCTCCGGTCCTTATTATAAGACCCAATTTGACTTTTTATTTGGTCCTAATTATAAGACCCAATCCATTTTGTCTCTTATATTTATGTATTTTTTTCCAAGATAATCCTTCTAATAATGATAGTTTTAGCCAATATACTTAATTAGTAAGGATATTTTAGAAATGACAACACTTATTTATTATAAACAACCAATTTAACTTACTTCCTTAATCTTCTCAAATAAGTCAATTGGGTCTTATAATTAGGACCGGAGGAGTATATTATATATTTATTATTTTTTCTTAATTAATTTATCTAATTTATAAATTGATATATAATCTAATATTATATTTATTATAATTAACTAAGTTATTTAATTTCTTAATTATTGCAAAATAATTATGTACCTCTTATATTAAAAATATGAGAGTGTCAGAATTTTTTTTTTTTTTTCAAGAGAGAAGTTTCAATTTGGTATCTAAATGTGTTAGGTAAGGAGAATCTTGTTTCCTTCCATTTTGGCTGTGCTTGTTTTTAGTTGTTGATTTATGTTGATTAGACGTCATTAGCTAACCTTTATTCCTTCACACAAAAACATCACCACATGTTTATGCTCCCTCCATCCTCAAAAGACAAAATTTTAGGCGTAATATTTGCATATAATATAATACTACTTCCGATCGTAATTATAAGATCCCGTCTTAGACTATAAATAAAATCTTACAATTAGGATAATAGGTAGTAGCAAAATTATACAAAACTCCTCACATCACCTTTAGGTCACTTACTCATAACCCCTTCCTGACATTTTAAGATTTAAACTTCACAACCTAACATTTTAATTTTTTTCAATATTCACTGTGTTATGTTCTCATTATCTTTTTGACAAGAATCAACACATCAGATTAATAGAAGACACATGAGATCCTGTTCGTTGGGGGCCAAAAAAAAAAAAAAGACAAGACACATTGCACCCTACATAATATTCTATGTAAGTGAATAATTTTATAAAAACTCCTGAACTTAAGACTCGTCACATATACATCTTAATATTTCAAAATTTAAATTTAATTTTTTAAAATTTAGAGAGATATGTTATGCAGTTGAGGAGGGCATTTTATAAAATTATTAACTCACATATGATGCATATAATGTGTCATGCTTTTTTTGTTAATTTAGTGTGGCAATTTCCGTCGAAAAAGATAAGGCTGCATAATGACAATGGGTTCACGATTAGAAAAAAAATAAAAGGTCAGAGGGGTTAGATTTAAACTTTGAAATATTACCGGGCGGTATACAACTGACCCTAAGCTTAGAAAAAATTTGTATAATTAATTTAGCCTATTCTAATTGACAAGTTTTTTAAGAATAATTAATAATTTTTCTACAATACTCCTCATAAATAATAAAAAGACATGACCCACATTAAAGTAAAGATAAGAAAATGGTGAGGGTAGACATGAAAAGATGAAAAACATTTCAAGACACAACATAAATTTAAATTATTTAACCAGCAGTATGTGTACTAAATGAAATAATTTTTTTCTCATGAAAAAGAATAGAGAGAATAATTTGCATACGTTGTACGGCAATTACTTTAGGCAAAACCTGAAGCCCTCCACTAACATAAACTACTTAAAAGGCCACAAAATGGACAAAAAATGTTTATGAAAGTCTGTTTGATTTTAAAGAAATTGTAAATCTTCTTGGGAGTACAGTGGAGTTGAGGCTAATTGCCTAAAATAAATATATCCTTCTAGGTTCATTTAAACCAAAAATTAATAAATTTTAGAAGCTCAAAAATCGATTTTTAGGATATGATAATTAGGTGATAAAGGTTCAATATAATGAAAATTAAGTTCTTGAATTTTGTTTCTGGAAATGAGTTGCAAAAATTAATTTAACTAGTTGTAAATTAAGACATGTATGTTTAAAATATAATTCTCAATTTATAACTGAGATTCTCAGTTAGAGTTATTTGAAGTTTAAATT